CAAATATTTATATGCATATATTGTTTTTAGGTTACTAAGTCAAGTACAAATCAAGTCAAAGTAAAAAAACAAATTAAGGTAAATTATTAAATAACATGTACCATGTCTATGTAATTTTTTTCAAAAAATATATTAAGGTCTAAATTTAAAATTAAAATAATCAAAATAAAGTAAAATAATAGTAAAAATAATAAACAAAAGTAAATAAAGAATTGTAAAAAGTTAAACAAAACTAAAAAAAATTATAATATAAAAAGTAAATTACATAAAAAACTTTTAAAATAAAAATAAACAGTAAACACTATTAAAATTAAATTAAAAAAAAACATTAAAATTAAATTAAAAAAACAACATTAAAATTAAATAAAAAAAACAACATTAAAATTTTAATTAAAAAACAACATTAAATTTAAATTAAAGAAACAACACTAAAATTTATTTAAAAAAGCAACATTAAAAGTAAATTAAAAAAGCAACATTAAAATAAAATTAAAAAAAAACACATACAAATTTTTTTAAATAAAATAAATTAAAACAAATTAAAAGTGCACTGAAATTAAATAAAAATTAAAAGTAAACAAAAATCAACATCTATTTCAAAATTTCTTTAAATATATACGTGTAAATATTAATATAATTTAAACATCATAAGTCTATCAACACTACAAAAATTCTTTGAAAAAAATACATTAATCAGTTGTAAACAAATTTTAAAAAAACATCAACCTATACTTTTAAAATCTTCGTAAAAAAAATAAAAATTAAAAATACAGCATTTCTACGGTAAATCTACACTTAAAATATAACAAAGCTACAATTAAAAACACGCATAAATCTAAATTACAACTCAACAAAGTTAACTATTTAATTACACTTTAGTTCACAAAAAAAAATAATTAATAAATATATATAAATCAACTGCAAATATATGTCAAAAAAAAAAAATAATTCATCAAAAATTATACTTCACCACTTAAAAAAAATATAATAATAATAAAAAAAAAATTTGTCTAGAATAAAATTTTAAAAAAAAAACTTCTCTACAACTAAAAAATTTAAAACAAAAAAAAATAATTGTTAAAAGTATACTTCAATTAAAATTAAATTAAATTTATTTAATGCTGTAAATACAACTTTAAAAAAATATAAACATCAAAAATATATAAACTTTAAAATTACCAAAAAGTTTTATATACTTAAAAAAATGGTTCTTAAATATATTTAAACTTTTTAAATGTAAAAAAGTCAAATTTATAGTAACAGTTATTAGTTAAGTACAGTTTTAAAAACATAAAAGTGCATTTATTCAAAATTCATCAAAATGTCAAAAACAGTAAAAAAAAAATATTACTAATAAAAACTTAAAATTACTCAAAGCATTCCAAAAATTAAAAATAAAAGCTCCAACAAATATTAAAAAAGGTAAAAACCTCAAACATTTCATAAAATTCTACGTTTCAAAAATAAATCATACCTCAAACAAAAATAAATCTAAAAGTACTTCAGTACCAAAAATATCAATATTTTATGGTAAAAGTAATAAAGGTAAAGTCAACTTCCTCACATGGCAATATAAAGTAAACTGTTTAATAATTAAAGGCTTGTACTCTAAACAACAAATTCTAAATAAAATTAAAATCTCATGTAAAAAAACATCAAACATCACGTGTAGTTCTGTTACAATTTCTCCTAAAAACATCATTTGTAAAATACAACCTATAACCATATACAAATCAATATAACAAACCTTACAAAACCCACAATATTTGGACTTTTTATAACTTCTTATGACTTGTTGTGACACTACTCGTTAGTTCTGTTTGCGTCTTCATTTTGTTCAACATAATATATAGACTTATTTATGTTTTAAACTCACATTATAAAGTATTTATATAGAAAAAAACATGCTGGGGCTTTTAAACACTTTTACAAACTTCATTTGAGAGGGATTTAAGTATATTTGGCGAATTTAATATTTTGTCATATATATACTTTAAATGTATGCTCTGTATGCTTAAAATATTTTTAAACAGATAAACTAGTAAAAGAAACATAGGGATATATTGTTAATTATATTGGCCTGCGGAAACATCGTAAAATTTAAGACAGTCTTCCAATAAACATTGTCTCATTGACCCAGGTTATTATAGTTTTACATGCGATCAGGACGGCATTATGTTATAGAGGAATAGGGGAAGAATGGATGATACAGTATCAATGAAGTCTTACTTTTGCCTTTGAATGACAATGACACACTCGATAATTGCCTGTATCACAGGTTATACCGCGTTTTAATCAATTTTGGAGTACCCTATATTTCGAATAACTGAGTTAGTGAAAATATTTATGTTATTTTAATGATTTTATCTCATATCCTATATATTTAAATCAACAATGGTGTAGTCTCTATTATCGGTGACAAACAACAAACGGGGGAACTTGTTATTTGTCGAGTGCATCTTTAACCCAAAGACATGATACAAGGAGAGATAATCATTATTTTTAAAAATTATGTGCATATAGTGAAAAAAAATTTATCGCATTTAAAATGTTAATGAGACACACGATATAGTTCATATCAAAATCACCATGTCTAATACTATCTGATAATGAACGTGTATCGAACATTTTAATAAAAAGTCATTATAAATGTTTGTGCTTGTCGACAAATGTTTACATTCATTTTAATTTTTCAAAGACTTAAAATAAATGTAGCTAAATTTATAAATGCAAAAACCTTTTACCTGATATTTATATATTAATTCATAACACCCCCCCCCCCTCCAAAAAAGTGAGGTGTAAATGACGATCATTTATCAAAGGGAGTAACTATGCATGGTCATTTATTTACAATACGCCATTTCTGTAACCTTATCTCGTTCATGATAAAATAAAATAGTATTTAAATGGACGTCTGCTAACTATCGACATCAAATGGACAAGGTGGGATATTATTACTTTCTTGCATTAAAAGGCATAACGATATCGCTTTCAAATGTAGCCGATATTGTAGGAAAATATGTATATCTCAAGATTAATAAATGCATTCAAAGATATATCTGTCCGTTTGCCCATATTCGTTTCTACACATACATGATGCATAGATAAAATGCGCGAGGCGAAAAAATGCAGTATTTTAGCAAATTCGTATCATTTCAGGAACACCGCATTTTGGCTGATACATCAAAGCGCACATACGACTTTCAACGGCTACGCGAAGACTGCGCAAATAAAAGTAATTTCAGTCCATATTTTGATTAGATATGCATAAAACAATACGCAGTAATAATTATTACGTAAATTAAGGAATCATAAAAGTTGAAACGCATGCCAAAAAAAACGTTGCCAATGGCTGTGAATTATTCTGAATATATGCCTTTTTATGTGCAATATGGATTTTATTGTACCGATAAAGTCCTGCATTTTATAAATTAGCAAAGAATAGATGAATGACATTCGAGGTACAATACCTCGAAATTTTGTGAAATTTTGTCTGATTTTTACTATCTAATATTACGTGATATGGAGACTGCTCTCCGTGTAGCTAAAGTAACATTATGCTCATGTTTTCATTATCAAGATTAGCTGTATTGACTGCATAATTCAAAAGATTTATTGTTATTATACTAACTGTCACTGACCAATGGTTGGTATGGATAAGATATAAATCTGCCGAAATATAACAAATGATATATAATATATATTAAACAAGATCATCAAGACTTCCCAACTCTTTTTTATAAATCGGACGATACGGGTAAATTCCAAATTATATTCACAAAATTTTCTTGATTGAAATTTCAGTATTTCAAAACAAAAGTACGACTTTAGCAAATAGAGAAATACTAAAGCGCTGTAGGTATAGAAAAAGTGTATCTTAAAACATTAGTTGATATTAATCGTTCGTTGTCTTACGCCTTTTCCTCCTATCTATCGTGACCTTTAAATCAATAGATATCTTTTCAATATATATCAAATCCCATCAACGCATGTTATCGACATCAATATATTTCATTGCTATGATATCTCAGCGCACTAATAAAAGACTCCTTTCATAACGTAATATTGCGTAACAACCTTGTGATGTGCCGCACCGGATAAGGACCGAATAGCACCGTGGGGCTCTTTAACTTAAATTTAAGTGTGCGTTCATTATACTTACCTTAACATGTTTATTAGTTTGATCTGGTTTTTTTCTGTACATTGTCTAATTTAATAATCTAACCTTTTAATTTTTATTCTCCAGGTTAAAAATTAAAAGAAATATTCTATATTCTTTATCTAATATTAGCCACGATATTACGATTGAATCATAATTCACAGCAAGTATCGCTGTGACTATAAAAAAAAAACGAAAAAAAAAACAACAAACAAACAAAACAAATAATAATATTAATAATGATAATGCGAAAACTGTGTTTATTTTGTAAAAAAAACACACAAAAAACAGAATACAAGAGAAAACGGATATACTGAGATCTCTCTCACTACGAATAAGTAATTGTAACTTCTTCCTTTTTAAATCGTTCCGTTTGTCACTCATTAGTCGATTTGCTTTTGTTGATTTTAAATGAAATACAGTGATTTGGCATCATGGAGTTGAAGCAATGATTTTAGAACGCAACACGTGATTTGATAAATAAAAGAGATACGATGAAATATAAGAGGACTTTTATTTGAAACAACACATAAGAATCAACCAAATGCGCATGCATAATTCCTGAAATTGAAACAGCAAGGTGTTAAGATAAAAGCTAAATAACAATGTATAACATATGTTTTTTTAAATATACTGTGCACTACCGTTCGTATGTGAATTGGTAATGTTGAAAGTGTCAAAAAGATGGACACGATTTTTTGGCCAGTTGACTATATCATTCAGCAAGAGCACTTAAGTACAATAACTTAGTTAACTTGGTGTTGCCATTCTTCACAAGACCTCAATAAAAATCAAAATTGACTCGTCAAGTAAAGATGGAGACTTTGAACAATTCGAATTCATGGACTGTATCATTAGTGTTCGTGACTTTTCAACCCGCCTTGTTGTAATATATAGACCTCCTCCATCCAAAACGAATGGCCTAAGTACTTCAAAATTCTTGAACAATGAGTTTCCTGATTTTCTGTCGAAATATGCTGAAACTGACAAAACCACAGTGTTTCTAGGAGATACAAACTTTCACATTGATAAACTTGATAATCGTGATGCGCAGAATTTCTTATCCATCCTGAACACATTTGGATTAAAACAGTTAGTCAATGAACCGACACATGTAGCTGGACACATTTTAGATGTAGTCATAACAAGAGAAAATGAAAATGTAGTATCTGATATTAAAATAACTGATCCTGGATTTAAAACTTCAAACGGAAAAGTAACACGTGACCATTTTGCTATCCTAATGAAAGTTAATGTTTCGAAACCACCACCTATTCGTAAAACAGTCACATACAGAAAATCTCGTGATATAAACATTGAAGATTTCAAAGCAGATATTAGATCATCTGAACTTTTTGGTCCTAAACCAGACAGCATGGCAGAAGCAGCAGAGAAATATCACACTGTCCTTTCATCTTTGTTAGACAAACATGCACCTGAGAAAACAAAAACAATTGTTCTCAGACCCCAATGCCCGTGGTTCAATCAAGAAATACATGAGGAGAAACACATTAAACGTAAACTTGAAAGAAAATGGTAGGAATCAAAATTAACTGTAGATCATGAAATATACAGAAGTCAGTGCTTAGTTGTAAATGATGTAATTGAAAGATCTCGTGAAACATATTACAAAGACAAAATAAAATCGTGTGGTAATGATCAAAAACAAATTTTCAAAGTAACAAATCATCTCCTCGGAAACAAACCTGAAGTTAAGCTCCCATCACACACTTCTGCTAAAGAACTAGCTCAAGATTTTAGTGATTTCTTTGAAAACAAAATTGAAAAAATCAGATCTGACATAGCATCTAAAAATGAATGTAATATAACAAATGAATCTAATTCAACTCAAATACAAAAGCCTAAAGAAACATTCAGTGAATTTGAAGTTATTACAGAAGAGCAAGTTCTTAAGCTCATATCAAAGTCATCTACTAAATCATGTGAACTAGATCCGATACCGACTTGGCTCCTAAAAGAATGCAAACTTGAAGTATCACCATATCTAACGCACATGTTCAACTTATCATTTTACACCGCCGACGTACCTCCACGCAATAAGACTTCGATAATCAGACCACTATTAAAGAAAGACAATTTGGATCAAGAAATTATGAAAAACTTTAGACCAGTTGCTAATGAAACATATGACTCAAAACTTCTAGAATCTGCGGCTGACTGTCAGTTTGATATGTTTCTCAACACTAACAATCTACATGAACCAAATCAATCTGCATACAGGAAATTTCATTCCACAGAAACTGCACTTATCAAAGTGCAAAATGACATTCTCCAATCTCTTGACAAAGGTGAAGTTACAATATTAGTAATGCTCGATTTATCTGCTGCCTTTGACACGATTGACCACAACACTCTTCTTAATCGACTCGAATGTGACTTTGGTTTTACTGGAAAAGTGCTCGCTTGGTGTAGATCTTATCTCAGTGGTCGCTATCAGACTGTTTGTATTGATGGAGAACTATCTGACCCTGTGCATATGACATACAGTGTCCCTCAGGGCTCTGTATTAGGACCAAAATTTTACATACTTTTCACAAAACCTGTTGGTGAAATTTGTCGAAAACATGGTCTGCAATGTCACTTCTATGCTGACGATTCTCAAATATACATTTCTTTCAAACCGTTGGACAACACCAAAACTGAACTTGTACTTGATTCTGTCTCAAACTGCTTAAAAGAAATAACATTCTGGATGAACAGCAACATTCTCAAACTGAATTCAGACAAAACAGAACTTATAGTCTTTTCGTCGGGTAGCAATACAGACTCAGTGAAAAATATAACTGTCAATGTGGACCAAGTTGAAATCAAACAGTCATCAAGTGTAAGGAATTTGGGTGCATTCCTTGATTCAAGGGTTAATATGGAACATCATGCCCAAATAAGTAAGATAGGACGTATTCGAAAATATATCAACGAAGAAGCTACAAAAACACTCGTTAACTCTCTCGTGACATCAAGACTGGATTATTGCAATGCTCTTCTATATGGTATACCTCAACAAACCATGAAAAAACTTCAACTTGTTCAAAATACTTCAGCCCGTGTGATTAAACGTACATCTAGGAAAGATCATATTACACCAGTGATGAAAGATCTTCATTGGCTGCCAATCGAATATAGAGTGAATTACAAGATCTTATTACATACTTTCAAGTCACTGAAACAACAATCTCCATCATATATGCAGGAAATGATTCAAGTTTATTCCACTTCCCGAAATCTGCGCTCTTCAAATGCACCTGTACGATTAGTGCAACCAAAACTAAACTGAAATTTGGTGAAAGGAGTTTTTCGGCATCAGCTCCTAAGCTATGGAATTCACTACCAAGTCATCTAAAAAACTGTAACACAGTAGAAAGTTTCAAAAAACATCTTAAAACACACTACTTCAATTTAGCTTATGGAAAATAATCAGTGACTGTTATGAATGAATTTTATAAACAGTGAATACGAAGTATCTGTTATTTGAATATTAGTTTTATTAAAAAGTTTTTTTTTTTGTTTTTTTTTCTAAACAAACAATTTTTAAATCAATTTAGTATTTCTATTGTTTTATAATGATGATTTAGCAAGATCTTATCTATTATTATATATTGAAGTCAATTTTAATGTATGACAATAATATTGTAAAGTGAGTTTTAAGGATTTTTAAGTTATATTGTATTAATATGTAAAAATAATTCCATAATTTATACTTTTAATTAGTTAATGCAAAATATTTTTAATGTTCATAATCCTGTTCATTTATATTGTTTTAGACATATATGATTGATGTAAAGCGCCTTTGAACATTTTAATGAAAAGGGCGCTATATAAATGTGGTATTTATTATTTATTATTATTATTATAGTTAAAGACGTGTTTTAGTGTGTATTTCATAATATATTTGGGGTACATGTGTATAGACATTTGACACAACACATAATCACTCATCCAATCACATACTCACTCACATACTGACTCACTCATTCAACTAAATACTCACTATTTCACTCACATAATTCATTCAACCACATACTCATTCACTCACATACTCACTCACATACTCACTCACATACTCACTCATTCACTCACTTACATACTAACTAACTCACTCCACTCACTCACTCACGTTATCACTTACTCAACCACATACCTACTCACCCACTCACTTACTTAAAGATAATCTTACTTTAATGTCTGATGTTAAAACACATTTATGCAATATTATGAAATATATTTCTGATAGAATAACATAAATTCAACATAGCTTATTAAACGAACATGCAAGCATTTATAGAGTTACAGAAATAGTTGATAATGCGATCTTTAGTTAAATCTGATTATCGAAGTTAGCGAAACCCTTAAAAATGATTGTATAAAATGATGTGAATGATACATATGTTGTTTTTTTTTGCAACAAATCAGGTTAGATTGAATGTGTCAGATTATCAAAAGAGTTTAGATAGAGAAAATAAAATCACTTTCTTACTTTTAATAGTTTCATTGTATACATTGTTTTGAAGTAATTGATTTATTACTTGTTACTTTAAGTATGTAACCAAATGTTAAATCGTGTATTAAAAAAGTCAATATATCAAATAGCAAACATACAACTATTTTCATATCAATGCTATAATGGCAATAAAATTCACTACTAGGTAAAACATATCGACAATCGTTACAAACTTTTTATCCGATATCTAGATATATACGCTGACCAACACGATATCACAAATAGTTCATCTCGGTTATTCAGGCTGTCCGTTTCAAACATGATTACTTCCTCTTTGTGTTATATGATAAAATGCTTTTGCTCTTGTAAGTTATGTTTGCGGAAAATTATAGTTCAATGTTTGTGACTTGCACATGCTTTATTGTTTTAAATCTTGGATTATAAAATCATGATGTCTCGGGTGAGTTGCTGTTTGTGTTATAATACTCTATTTTATGATGAAAATTAACATATTATTTGTAAGTTTAACTGCATACAGCTAAAACAATTTTGTTACAAGCAATACTACGAAAGATATTCAAACTAGTGCAAACACTCTCTTTTATTTTGTTTAAATTATATTTACAGTAGTCCTACAAACAACATTTTGATATGAACATGTATTTGATAATATTTAGGAAACTAGTGTTGTTATAACCCCCACATGTGTTCTGTAAACTATAAATAATGCAATACAAAAACAATTTAAAGACAATGTTTCAGAGCCATAAAAACACTATTGTTATTTTATAAGATAGTTGTTAAAACCGTTAGAAAATGTCACAAACATGTGTAAATCATAACAATATGTTGCATTCATTCATTCATTTATCATTCATTCATTTTTCATTCATTATTGATTCATTTATTTGTTTTTTATGTTTTTTTTTTTTGTTTTTTTTTTGGCTTTTTCACCAACATTATTTTATGACAGCAAGAACGTGCAAAATGCTTTCATAAAAAAATGAATCGCAGATTTAACGGCTAACCTATTTATTTTTATAATTGTCTATCAACAGTATATATGTCTTCTAATTAAAAGAAGTGTGTCCATGCATGCAAATTGTACTATTATTGTATTATAAGATTTTTAACGATAACAATGTCAAAGAACAAAATTGAAAAGTAAAGTGTTGAATTTTCAAGTTGTATAGACTACTGTTGTACGACATTTTAAATTATTTTTTTATTTCGAAACATCGCATAATCCTAAAGTACGAAAAGGAAGAAGAGTGAACAAACGAAAGCATGTAACTGCATTTAATCACATCCAATAAGTTCCATACATTTATCTTGAAATAATGCATTTAAATTATCATAATATTAACTGATCGTGCATATATGTTTTGATTGGACATTGTTTCTTTGTTAAATACCTTTGATATTAATGATAAGTCATAAAATTGTAAACTATCAGCTTTCAAATGTATGCATGTGCCGCCTTTTGAACCGACATAAATAATTAATAAATAATAAACGTTCACACTATGAAATCAGTCACAGATATTCAAAAACTATTATCAAAACTTTTAAATTTTCAAGTTAAAACCGTAACACTTTGTCAAATTTAATGTTTTAGTACCTAACTTCGTGCGTTAAACATCCTTTCTTTAAAAATAAATTGGGTGTTGAAATTAAGATTAAATTTCAATTCGAAATTAGACGGTAAATTATAAATATAGAGATGCCTTGAAATGCATTGTAATATATACTAGTTCAAAAGTAATAGTTCGCATTTAAATAACGTACGATTTTATGTAAATGGTGTGCTGAAAGCTATTAAGCAGTCAGATATGCGACATTATAAGATTTATTAAGATATTCTTTAAAATATACTGATATACGAAAACGGTTTGATTTGAAGTGAATTAATAATTAATAACGTGTATTACCTGTGTACATCAAGTAGATAAAAGATGTATGCAAATGGGTATTAAGCTTTCTAAAAAGCTATATGAACATTTATCATATTAAATATATTGGCTGCACATTCCATCCAAGTGTATATAGGAGAGATATTCGTCTTGCCTCTATAATATATTTGTTATTCAATACCATCAACTTAGTTTTTCAGTTGAGTGAATAATACAGTTCTTACCATTTACTGAAATAAAGCCATTAACCCATTACTGCATGAGCATTTGGTGAAAAATGGCTGTTTTCATTGAAAAGTCTCCCGTTTCAAGTTCAAATTGCTATGAAACCGCTTCAAAATTATTCAAACTTGGCACAAATGTTCAATGAACCATTGCCTTTGTGACAACATGTTTAAAATTTCCTGTTACCATGGCAACGAGGGGACATCTCAAAATTGCCTAAAATCACTATTTTGCGTTGGGTTTTTCCATAAATTTTCATTTCAAAGTGCTGTAACTGCTTATTGGGTTGAGATAGAGTCAAATGCTTTTCAGCGTTG